CCCTGGCTGGCACTGCATCGGGGAGGTTTTCTTATGTTAGAAAATTGGGACTGGATTGTGGGGACTTTGACGTGCCCTCCAGTGGGTCCCACACTAACAGTTTTACAAAATGCTGGATACCCACAGCAGTGGAAAATAAGAATATGTGAACATGTATGCGATTGGCTGCTGATTTTAGAATTAATAGACTGAATTAATAAAGTTGGATCAAAGCTGAGTATGTTTACATGGCCCTTTTCTGATAACCTGCTCATCACACTGGGATTAGAGATGACAGACTGTGTCATTTTCTTGTATATTCCTAACCTGCAACCTTCTTTCTGAATCGAAGGCAAATTCCAATGCTGACAACTCCCGTCTGGTACTCGCTGTTCTGTGCGCGGCCCTCTATCCCAACGTGGTGCAGGTGATGACGCCAGAGTCCAAGTACAGTCAGACCAGTGCTGGGGCTGTGCCCAAGGCCCCGCGGCCAGAAGACATCAGGTTCAAGACCAAGGAAGAGGGCTATGTGAGTATTGGCGTTCTTGCTTCTGCACACTCATTAGACCTCTGACAAGCTTGTGATGGACTTGTTGGCCTGGTCGAACTGGTCAAACCCATCAATAGGGGTGTAAGTCCATTGGTAACATCCTGTCCAATTGTAAGGAGCCTATTATGAAAATGTTTCAAAAGTTCCCTTGCAGAACTGAAATTTGAGACAAATTTATTACAGTCCACTTTCGTCCTTGATCACTTTATATCTTGTTCAAACCAGCAGACTTTCTAGGTTGTGTTTTCAATCAAAGTACTGTTTTTAAACTTCAGTCTGTGTACACACAGAATGGTTGGAATCGGGGCAGAATCTTGCATGGCTATGGAGCCTGATTATGGAGTGGCAGTCTTTTTTACACATTGTGCAGGCGTAAGCAGTAACACCATATATAAATAATGCCCAAAAAATTGGAAAATGGAATCATAAGGAAGTCTCCTCCCCTCAAAGATGAACACACCTACATCAAAATTATCCTTTCTGTTTCCCTGCTTCATGTGTGTCCAATTCGGTCCTGATGCAAATTTCAAATCTCAGCATGTAATCTTGACGCACAAACAAGAGAGGGAGCTGTCTTCACCAAAAAACAGTCTCCATCGAGGTGCCATGTACATGTAAATGTAGTTTGCAGCCAGCAAATGTGCACATAATTTGGTGTTGTGCAGAGTTGTTGGCC